ACCTTTTGTCACCCATTTTTTCTCTAACACCCACCATATTATATATCGGGGCACTCTATCATATGCTTTCTCAAGGTCGATAAATACCATATGAATGTCTCTTTTCTTTTCTCTATACTTTTCTATTACTCTCCTCAAAAGATAAATTGCTTCCATTGTTGACCTGCCAGGCATAAACCCAAATTAATTCTCTGACACCTCTGTTATATCTTGCAATCGGCGTTCCATCACCCTCTCTCACATTTTCATTATATGACACATTAGCTTGATTCCTCTATAGTTGTTGCAATTCTGGACATCTCTTTTATTCTTATATATTGGCACTAAAATACTCTTCCTCCACTCATCTGGCATGTTCCTAGTCAATAAAATATTGCTAAACAACCTAGTCAATCAAGCAATCCCTTTTTTACCCAAGCACTTCCAAGTTTCAATAGGGATATCATCGGGTCCTAAAGTCTTATTTGATTTCACATTCTTAAGTGCAATCTCCACTTCAAAGTTCCTAATCCTGCGATAAAACCTATAGTTTTGGTTTATCGCATTACTGGCCATTTCTTCCCCTATTCTCATACCTCAATGTTCCTCATTTAGTAGTTTCTCAAACTAGTTTTTCCATCTTTCCTTAATCTCTTTATCCTTCATCAATACCTTAGAATCCTCACTCTTGATGCACTTAACTTGATTAAAATATCTTATTTTTCTCTCTCGTATCTTAGCAAATTTGTATACCCTCTTCTCTCCCTCTTTACTATCCAGTCTAGTGTATAGGTCATCATAGGCTTTCAACTTCGCCTCTCTTAATACTTTTTTGATCTCCTTATTAGCCAATTTATAGCTCTTAAGGTTTTCCTCAGTTCTATCCTTCTGCCACTTTTTAAAGCACTCGTTTTTTGTCTTAACTACCATTTGAACCTTTTCCCTCCACCATCAAGTTTCCCTAGAGCTGGGTCCCGTCCCTTTCGACTCTCCAAGCACTTCCCTTGAGATTCTCCTCATACAATTGGCCATCGAGTTTCACAGTATTAGCATCATCTTTCACGTCTCAAGTACCTTCCTTATCCATTCTATTCTTAAATATTTCTAGTTTATCCTCTTTTAGGTTCCACCATCTTGTCCTACGACGCCCACCATCCTTCCTAGCTTGGTATTGCCCTTTAAAACATAAATCTAGTACCAAAATCTTATGTTGAGAGGTCAGGCTCTCTCCAGGAATTTTCCTTACAATCATTGCATTTTAGGCGGTCTATTTTTCTCACTAAAAAGTAATCTATTTGGCTCTTAAAAGTTATCAAATGCTCATCCCTCTTCTTATACATAGTATTGGCCACCACCAGGTCAGAAGCTAACGCAAAATCTAAGATACTCTCTCCAGTCTCATTTCTGTCACCAAAACCGTAACCACCATGCACCCTTTTATAGCCTAGTTTATCTATGCCTACATGGCCATTAAAATCTCCACCTATGACCAAGTTCTCTCCTATGGGTATCTCTTGTACGATTTCATCCATTTGCTTCCAAAAATCTCTCTTAGTCTGATCATCTAATCCTACTTGAGGGGCGTATGCACTAACTCTCCTCCTAATCATAACATCTACCAATTCTATCGTCTTACCAGTTAAGGTTCCTATATTCCAAGTGACTACTCTAAATCTGTTTTCTTGAACTAGCTTCTTTACCCGCGTTCGTCTAGAAAAACACGGGAATCTTTGCCCATTTTTCACCGCACCCAGGCATTAATGCGGCGCTTCTTTTGCTCATTTTTGAAACACCCGGAGGCAGGTACAATGCGTTACTTGAGGGTAACGACCTAGCATTTAAACGATTCAAAGTAGGATTCATTTTCATAAGGGATCCGAACGGCTTTTTTTACGTGTTGGTTGTCGGCTACCTAACACACAACCCTCCTCCTTAACCCGGGCTTAGGATCGGCGGAGTTGTTAACAGCCCCGGCGGAGTTATCCATGAGAACTAGTGCTGCCAGGAAAATTACCTCGATGAGACCCTCGTTCACTATTGCTAGAGATCAAGGCAGAAGAGGACAAGGGCTAAGAGGAACCAGATGTGGAAGAAACCTGTCCCAAAGAATAACACAACAATTGAGAAAAGGCATTAGTAGTAGAAGGTAAGTCTCACTAGTGAGAATATGATCTTTGAAACCCCGTAGATCAAAATCTAACCCCATAACGAAGGATGCCATCATAAACTCCTCCCAATACTTCTTTTGTTAAGCCAAATCAGTAGTAAAAGGTCGGTGTTGCAACAATTGGTCCCACAAAGTCTTCAAACCACTATAATAGTCAGGAAGAGGACAGCCAGACTGGAGGGTAGCAAAAATCTATTCATACAACTCATAAACTCGAGAGACATTACTCTTATTAGAAAAGGACTCAACAAGGGAGTCCCAAATGGCCTTAGAGGTGTCACAAAATTCAACGGTAGTAGCAACATTAGGCTCCAAACTATGCCAAAGCCATCCCATAACACAAGAATCCTCACTCAACCAATCATCATAACCTTTATCATCCTCAGCAGGTGGAAGGTCAGTAAGAAAACGCGACTCCTTTCCACACAAGAAAATCTTAACAGCATGAGCCCAAGCTAGATTATTCAGACCATTCAATTTCTTAGTGGTAATAGACTTGGGGAACTCATCATCCTTAGTTGTGGAGGATTTCACATCATGTTTTGGCTCGGCCATGAGAAAGAGAACAACCAGCAAATGCAAAGGGAAAAAAATACAAAACACAAGGACAATCAACCAACAGGAACAGAGTGGAGTAAGGAAATTACCAATCAACTGTAACCAGCAAGCAGCCAACCAGCCTAAAGGAAGAGCCAAAATGATCAGCCAAGGCCAAAACAGAGGTGCCGAACAAGGCAAATCCACTAGAAATCGTCAAAAATTGACCTAGCAACAACATGAAGCAAAAACAATCTCACAGATAGCCTCCTAGGGCTATTTTGGCTCCCAAGGAAGAGGTTTCAACAAGCAAAAAACTTTGGGTAAGGAGCTTTATCGCAAATCAGAAATATGACACCATTAGTTCAAAAATCTTTCAAAAATAGAAAACTCACATTAGATGGTCTCAAAAAAATCCATTGAAATCACCATTGAGATTAGAAAAGGAAGACGATCAAGAAGAGGTCACCTCGTCCATACAATCTATGACATCATGCTGACGTCCTCATACAAAAGATGATGTCAGCACATCGTTATCACCTCAAAAGGAATCACGAGTGACTGAAAAACACTTTGATAAGGTTGAATCGAGCTCTGATATCAAGTTGAAGTGTAAAAGTATGCAAAACTTTGATTAGGGCTAGAGAGAAAGAGAGAAGGAACAAAGAGAAGATTGTATATATATTATTAAACGCATGTTCCTTGGTTCCTCTTATAAACCTAAAACATCAGCAAATATATAGAATACAATATGACCATAGTACTCTTACTCAACACAAAAAATAACATTTACTATATATTCTAACAGAAGTCATGGGCTTGAAAATCTTGCCTAGGGAACATGTTAAACTTTGTTGCTTCCTTTTGAAGTCGTGCTCCTAAAAATGTTTCCTAGGGGAATGATCAGAATTTGGACAATTTAAATGCCTGGACACACACAGCAACAGACAAGCTCATCCATGCAGCATATTAAGTAAAACCCTACCATCCTTGACCAAATCCTTCTCAGAGCTTCCCTATTATTGCACCATGTAAACCAGCTACCCATGAAACCAGCATCGATCAGACCACAATTAGAGATAGCTCCCACAAAATTCCCCCACAACATCATAATCAATAGGGTTACCAAGAAGTTTTTCACAACCAACCAGCCAACAAAATTAAAATCACCCCCAACCAGCCACAGAGAGGACACTGAAGCAACCAAACCTCTAAAACCACAGTGCATTTAACACCGAAGCAACCAACGTTACTAGAGTGAATTTAATTATACAAATTAGTAGAATTGAATACCTAACGTAGTGCACACTTGGTTTGCCAAACGAAGTAGATATTTCTGCTCAAGATTTGTTAAGGAGTAGTTTAAACTGGAAATCATTAGATTGTCAACAAGATAATACTATATGGATAGAATAATGCTTCGAGTACCGGATGAATTTGCCTCACTTATCTTTCCTACATAGATAAAGACTTATTTTTCCTATATAGATACAGCAGAGTAGGACCCATTTGAGTTAGTAGATGGGGACTCCTACTAAAGAAGCTAATAGTTTCTTCTTACAAGAAGTGGAAATTCCAGCTCAAGATTTGTTGGATAGTATAAACTGAAAATTATCACATTCTTAACAATATATAACTATAATCCTTTGCTTACTAGGATGAAATCACCTCACTTGTCTGACCCATATAGATGCAATGGAGTGGGGCCCATTTGAGTAAATAGCTGTGGCTTCCACGTGCTTGTATCTATGGGAGAGCAAATATGATGATTTTAATCCTGATTATAGCATTTGCATAAGCTGTGGCTTTTTCCGTGAAGTTGTGGGATTAGTACGTGTGACGGACAGGGATGGGTTTACATAAAGTTGAAAGATCTTGTTAATTAAGGCCTTGTTTGGCAAGTGGCTTTCTTAGCCAAAAAATCAAAAAGTCACTAAGAAAACCAAAAAGTCAAAAACCCATACTAAAAAGTCAAAGATTCTTTTCTCTCTACTTTTTGCACATTTTTTCGTAAAAAATCATCTCAAACATACTAGTTTTTTTACATCACATTTTAGCAAAAAAACCAAAAAGTTACTAAAAAAGCCTGTTCTCAAACGAGGCCTAAATTGTGCTTCCAATTTTGGTTACAGATTGTATTAAAAATTTGTAAAACAACTTTTTCCTCTGTTTGGGAGAAGGGGAGGCGGGACCCATGTTTATCAAGGATATGTAGTGTATTCAAATAGCTTCAAGTGACCATGGGGCCCCACCTGCTCCACGGTCTGTCCATAGATATGTAACATTCATTAATGCTGGTATTGTTTGTGATTGACAGGCAAAACTGATTGATCCAAATTGCAATATAGAAAATTTTCTACGCAAAACATTGGACCCTCCAGTTTTTGAAACTATACGTAATGCAATTATTGTTCTTCAAGATATCGGGGCCTTGTCACATGAGGGAGAACAACTTACAGACCTTGGGGAGAAGCTTGGTTCTCTACCAGTTCATCCATTAATTTGCAAGATGCTTTTCTTTGGCATATTATTGAACTGCCTTAATCCAGCCTTGACTTTGGCCTGTGCCTCTGACTATAGAGATCCATTTATTCTTCCCATGTTGCCAAATGACAAAAAGAAAGCTGCAGCTGCTAAATCTCATCTGGCTTCAATGTTTGGTGGAAATAGCGACCAACTAGCAGTGGTAGCTGCATTTGAGTGCTGGATGAATGCCAAGAAAAAGGGCCAAGAAGCCCGGTTTTGTTCTCAATATTTTGTGTCCTCCAGCACCATGAATATGCTGTTTGGAATGCGTAAGCAACTCCAAAATGAATTACTCCGACATGGGTTCCTTCCAGAAGATGTGTCAAATTGTAGCTTGAATGAACGCAATCCAGGTATACTCCACGCCGTCCTTGTTTCTGGTTTGTATCCAATGGTGGCAAGATTGCTTCCACCTTTCAAGAATACAAACCGGTCCATGGTAGAGACTGCTAGTGGAGAGAAAGTACGATTGCATCCTCATTCCTCCAACTTTAAGTTATCATTTACGAAATCTAGTGACCAACCTCTGATCATATTTGATGAGATAACCCGCGGAGATGGAGGTATGCACATCAGGAACTGTAGTGTTGTTGGGCCTCTCCCATTGTTATTGCTGGCAACAGAGATGGTAGTGGTTCCTATTAAGGATATTGATGATGATGATGATGACAATAACAATGAGAGTGACTATGAAGATGCTGATGAAGATGAAAGTGATGACTACAAAATCGAAATGCATAATAAGTTGGGTGAAGATTATGAAGAGAAGGTTATGTCTTCTCCTGACAATGCAGTTAAGGTCGTTGTTGACCGGTGGCTTTCTTTCAAATCAATAGCCCTTGATGTTGCTCAAATATACTGCCTTAGAGAGAGACTATCTGCAGCAATCCTTCTCAAAGTAAGTTCTTGTATTATTTTTTATTTTGGAGAAAATTTTCACAAATATTTTTTTTCCAACATTTAATTCTCGACCAAATGTTTTGTAGGTGACACATCCACGGAAAGTTCTTTCTCCACTTCTAGAGGCTTCTCTGAATGCAATAGCCTCTGTCTTATCTTATGATGGGATGTCAAAGATCTCATCACCAACGGAACCTGTGGACTCGCTGACTTCAATGGTGAATGCAACTGAAATAGACCAATCCACACATGGGAAGGTGAAAGGGATGGTTCAGAATTCAAATGGTTTTCTGAGATCTATGCCACAAGCATACAGGGGTACAATGAGCTGGAATGGCCCATTAAGCAGTCATGTCCAGTATCCTATTGCTTCAACACACATAAAACCATATCCGAGGTTTGCACCACAAGGTCCCAGTGGAGCCATATCAGGACCAATTGCTTTGAGGGGGGATTCTTCCAAGCGGCAGCGTGGTAATTGGTCTTGATAACAATAGGATTTACTAGGCTTTTCTTGTTTACTTATAGACAAAAAAATGGATGAAAATCCTGTCTAGTTGGGACGTAGGCCTTGATTTTGAAAGGGACCTCAATGGTAAGAAATAGAATTTTATTCAGAATGTTTCTTTAGAGCAAGATTGCAATTATAAGTTGTTTTAAATTTTGATAAAAACCAGGGCTCCTGGTGTTTTATTGTGAGGTTAAGCTGTTATAGTGCACAACTTGTGGCCTTCCTCCATATAAAGGTGTGCCATCAACAAGCGTGTGTGGTAATATTGAAGATAAACTTTTTGGGGAAAAAAAAGGGATAAAAATTGCATCCAGATTATTTGTCGAGCCCCTATGTCATAGACAAGCATGATGAGCAATAATGTTAGTTATAATTCATTATGCATTGCAGAGAAAGCATATCTATACAATTCAAGTTGGCATATTGGCAGTTACGTTGAATATTAGAAAAAAGAGTAATGCTGATAATCAAATTTTTATACCAAATTTGTTTACGATCCATATACATGACATTTTACATGTCATCTCTTGCATTGGAAAAATGCATGAATGGAAACAACTTTTGCAATATGCTTCAAGGAAGAGGAGGGGTATTGTGAAGCAGAAGAAGTTCCTCCTGTAAATTTGATGCAACTCGACACTACATCAAATTGAATGTTCATGGAAAGGAAGTGTTGATTTGCAAGTAAAACTAATTAGGCTGCTTTGGGCAACTCATCAACCTGCAGAATAAATTTTTTTGCCTTCAATCTTGAAATCTCTAATCAGTAATTCTACCCTCCTCAACCTCCTCTTCATGCCCAACGCCGCCTACTCCCTTCCATGCCTTGCTAAATGCGCCCATCACCTCCTTGACTTACCTTTTTCGAGGGTCAGAGCAATTGATTCAACTTCGGTCGTCTAGGTTTGAACATTGAGCATTGAATCATCACAAGGAAGTTACATGGAGGCCATTGGTTCAGCATTGGCAGTATGAACTCTCTCTCTCTCTCTCCATGTTAGTCAATTTTATCTCTTTATCTACCTCTATGGGTGGCTCGCAAATGTGGAGTGTGGTTAGTGGTCGGAGATGAAGAGTGTTGTAGATGGTGGTTGTAGATATGAGAGAGGTTGTGATAGTGAAGTTAAGGTTTGAAAAGCAAGAAATGGTGAAATGAGAAAATGAAAGGTGATGAAGATACATTTGGAATCATGAGATGTTAGAGCAACTCCAACGATGGAAGCTAGAATGGTTTTGTCAAAGTCATTTTTTATTTGCTAAATTAAACCTAATTAAGCTTTATGCCCTAATCAAGTGAGGTCAATTACATTATATGCTTAATTAAATTACTCCATCTGCCTCAAATTGTTTGTCAGGCATACAAACATGAACTTAACTTTCGTTTGGGAACAGGCTAATTTAGTAACTTTTTGGCTATTTGACTAAAATGTGATGTAAAAAAAACTAGTATGTTTGAGATGACTTTTTGGCTTTTTACGAAAAGATGTGCAAAAAGTAGAGAGAAAAGGGAATCTTTGACTTTTTGGTATGAGTTGTTGACTTTTTGGCTTTTTTAGTAACTTTTTGGCTTTTTGGCTAAAATAGCCTCTTGCCAAACGAGGCCTTAATATTGTATTTTTATGCCAATTTTCAAGTATATTTAATTGGCTTTTTTTTTTGTTATAAAAATAAAAAAAAAAATAAAAATAAAAAAGTGGAACAAAATGTCATAATTTTAAAATTCTTATTTTGCATGCCTAACAAACAATTTGAGACGGAAGTAGTTACATTTTTTGGCTTGGTAAAGTGCAAAAAAATAAAAAAAAAAGATTTTGAAACATACCACTTCAATAGTTTCACATTATTTTGGTAGAGTCAATTCTCATATTAATTTTCTACTTGTTTCTCAAAAACTATCCAGTGATCTAGATTTTCCTTCTTACTGATGTGATAAATTTGGCAATAATAATAGTATAAACTCAAAAGTTTTATTTAGAAATTATTCAAAAATATTAATATGTGGCTCAGATTTATTCTACACATAAATTTCATAATACACATTTTCAATGTCGACCACACATTATCATTTTTGCCGCAAATTTGGGTCCCCAGACTTTTTGGTTTCGCAAACCATTATAAGGGTGCTTTTTACGAAGCAACACTTAGTTGAGTTGCTCACAGCATAATTTTGTAATTTTCAGTGTGGATTAGTCATAATAAACTCAAAAACCTCAAGGACGTCAGTGTAATTTACTTTTCTATTACTCGGCGCCTAAAAAAGAACCTAAAAAAAAATGCAGCAGAGACAGACAGACAGCAAACCGGGACGGGGCAGAGAGCGATGCTGAGATCAAGCCTACGTGCGGTTCGCAGGCTGTCTTCGTCCTACCCTGTACTCCACCTCCGTGCGGTTCGCAGGCTGTCTCCCCTCCTCTCTCTTCCATTCGAAACCAAAACCCTTGTCTCTCCTCCGCCGCCATTCAAGTATTATTCCAGCTATCACCATGATAACCACCACAGCTCCGCCGCCGCCGCCGGAGGAGAATCAGCAGTGTGTGATGATGCTGAGCTGCAGCCTACTAGCACCACAGCTAGGACTCCTTCTATAGACTCGTATGCGGCAATAGAGCTGGCCCTAGATTCAGTGGTGAAGATTTTCACTGTTTCCAGCAGCCCCAATTACTTCCTTCCCTGGCAGAACAAGTCTCAGCGCGAAACTATGGGTTCTGGTTAGTGTTTTTTTTTTTGGAACCAAACTAAATCAAACCATGAAAATGCAATGCGGTTCGGTTCAGTTTGGAACCATGGTTACACCTTGTCATTGTTCACAATATGATCGCAACATGCTCAAACATCAAATAATATGCCATCATTTTATAAACAACAATTGTTTAAATGATTGTTTAGAATTAGTTCTACAATTATACAGGAGCACACTTACAAGAGTAGAGGTTAACAACTTATATATATATATATGACATATTAATAAAGTACTTGAGTGTCTACGATAAATAATAAATTATATATATGTATGATATGTCTAAACGGTCTGATTCAGTTCCAAATTGAAAGTATAACTGTAAAACCACAGATCAAACTATGAAATATGGTTCACCTATTTTAAGAAACATGACTGAACCATGCATTGATAAAACCAACCAAACTATGCAGTTTGTTCTAGATCAGACCGGTTTGCGATTTTTTCGTTTTTCTGCTCATCCCTAGTTCTGGGAGGAGCTGAGTGCAAATAGACCTAATCTTCAGTTCTCATTTGCACAAAGTGGCTGATGTTTGATTCCAATTTTCTTGTTTCTTGGCCAATCTGTTCTAAGGACTTACTATCTCATCTGACTAACCATCTAATGTTTTGATTTTTTTGTCGGTGAAATCTCCTTAGACTGAGCCAATATAGCTAAAAGTTGTTTCAGACCTCCCTCTTTGGCTGTGTCTGGATCATGGACTTGGGTAATTTTGGAAAGGAAAAGAGAAAGGTGAGGACTAAGAAGCACGGACACTTCTAGGAAGGTGACGTATCCGTGTCGGGTACGTGTCGGACACCGACACTTTTTGGACACTCTCAGGACACGTGTCCGACACTCTTCAAAACATGTCCTATTGTTTAAAGACTTGGACACTCTTTGGACACTTGAAGGACACACGTGTTAATCGTTTAAACACACGTGTCTAACGATTAGACATACGTAAAACTAATTATAAGTTTGAACAAAATAATTTAAGATACAATAATAAAATAAAAATCATATAAATTTATAAGAATTAGTGTCATATTGCATTTTTTATTATCTTTGAATGATATATTTATATATATATATATATAACATATAATAAATATATAAAATTATGTATTTCATGCGTGTCCTCCTCGTGTCGTGTCCTGCATTTTTTTAAAATTAACGTGTCGGCGTGTCCGTGTCGTACTCGTGTCGTGTCACGTGTCCGTGTCCATGCTTCTTAGGGTGAGGACAATGCGAATGAAATACTATAAGTTTTTTTTTTTTTTTCCTCTTTATTTTTGAATCCTTATCTAAATTCATGATCCAAACACAGCGTTAAGCACTACCATCTAGTGTCTACGGTGGGAGGCATGGTGTTTTCCTTTTTGTGACCACCGCTACTAATGAAATTTTGGGAAGACCATTTTCATTATAACTTCTTCAATTCTAGACATCTGTAAAAGATTCATGGTGCTGTTTATGATGTTTTATGCTAGAACAACATTTGATCGAGACATGATCATCCTAATGCTGCAATTTCTTTCATGAGTCAAACTTGGAAAGTGCATGGCATCATTGTGCTTCTAGATAATGGGCTTAGAAGGACAGTAGGACTTGATATAGAAGGATGTGGTTACTTCGTTTCTGCATATCTGTTCTTAGTGTTTTTTCTTGGTAACATGGTCTTTATTATCCTCTCTTGTTATTACATTTAGGCCTTGTTTGATTAACATGATTAATAGTGAAAGGATTAGTAATCCCATGATTTGGTGTAGGATTAGTTATCCAATTAAATAAGTGAGATAATTATTTAGAGTAATGATTCATCCCCCCTTTTCTCCCCACCCCCTTTGACCCCCTCTCTCTCTCATTGGTTACCTTTTCTTTTTCTTTTTCTTTTTTTTCCTGCTCCACCAATCACCTCCTGCCACGTGGCAAAGGGGGGGTGAGGGAGTGACCCCCAAAAGGGGGTCCCAAGCATTATTCAATTATTTATTATGTATTCATTTTTTTTTTTTTCATATTTGAAATTATGATCCCCAACTCCTCTCAATATTAAAAATTCACTAATTTCGTCGGATTGAATGTCTGCCGTGTATGTAATTCAATTAATAGTATTTACAATCAAACACATGATTGTGAGTTCATGAACTAACAATTCCAATCCTATGCTATAATCCTACTAATCAAACATGCCCTTAGAGTTTTATGCATTTTGTAAACAGTTTTTCCTCTCTGAATTGCATCTTCTGAAACCAGGATAAGTACGTGAGCTTCAACCCAACAGGGTGCTTCAACCCAACAGGGTGACAGTTTATGTGAAAATGTCTGATTTGATAGTTTGTGTTGTTCTGGCCTGTCGGGGGTCACTCTAAACTGTTGCAAACTCAGAAAATTTGCTTTTAAAAAAGAAGAAAAAATCAAAACTGAGAGTGGCTGCAAATTATGGACAAAGATAAATGATAAATGAGAATTACACATGTTGTGGTTTCGTTGTTATGCTCGTATAAGAAGGGTAATGAACCTATCTTGGTTGATTTTTGGTTTGTGAAATTTATACATGACTTATGATTAAAATTTATTTCATTCTACTTTGGTGCTTTTCTAATTTCAGTATTTCTTATACAATCATGTAGGATTCGTTATCCCTGGTCAGAGGATACTGACAAATGCTCATGTAGTGGCTGATCATACATTTGTACTTGTAAGAAAGCATGGTTCTCCTAACAAGTATAGAGCAGAAGTTCAAGCTATTGGACATGAATGTGACTTGGCCATTCTGACTGTTAATAGTAAAGAATTTTGGGAGGGTATGAATTCTTTGGAGCTTGGTGACATTCCATTTCTTCAAGAAGCTGTTGCTGTTGTTGGTTATCCTCAAGGTAACAATATTGAGATGTACATAGCTTGCAGTAGACAAAGGTAAATTAACTTAATTACATATCTTGTACGCATCTAAAGGAAAATGTGAACCAAGTATAAAACAAAAGATGGAAAAGAGAATATCATGATTTAGTTTTTTTTTTTTTTTAAAACAAGAAAGTTTTTTTTTTTTTTTTTTAAAAAAAGAAAGATTTAGTTTTAATTTTCGTTTCCATGATATGCCAAGTTGATATTAAATGGCCTTTGTGTTATTTTCCAAGTACGCTTATAGCATTCCTACATTTAATACACTGACTTTTTACTTGTTAGAACAATAATCAGCTTGCTTTGTTCCATTTTTTCAAAAACACTTTTCAGAAAATTCTACTTTCTTATTTTCCGTGTTTTTTTTTTTGCTTTTACTGATTTTTTTTAATATTTTAAGCAATTTTTTTACTTTTTAAACAGACCTAACATAAATACACCAAAAAAGTAAAAAAATTGTAAAAAAAATCTTTTAAAAATTCACTAAATACCAAAAATACAAAAAAAAAAAATTATAAGAATTCAGTACATTTTTTTTGTATTTTTATGTATTTATTAATTTTTTAAAATATTTTTTCACAAATTTTTTACTTTTTAGATATATCTAAGGTTCATCTAAAAAAGTAAAAAAAAATGTTTAAAATTTAAAAAATATTCACTAAAAACAAAAAAACACGAAAACCAAAAAACTCAGTTTTTAAAAAACTTAATCCAGAAAACTCAAACCAAACACACTAAATGTTGTTACCAGTTAGAATAATAATTTGTCTTGTCTGTCCTCATGAGAGTCATCTAGTGGTTCAACTTCTGGGGTCAATAGTGGAGCATAGCATCAGCCTTTGAAGGTGTAAAAAAGGTGGGGCAAGAATGCTTCTTGTGCTCAAATTTAGAATTTGGCATGTCCTAATTGATGTGGGACGGACCAACCCATTGTGGATGTAGAAGAATTACATTTTGGGTCTGGATCAAGTTATATGTGATATGTATTCACATTTATTTGCTGCTGGTTCAGCTAAAAATTGTTTGCCTACGCCACGTCAAGGGTATTATTATAATTACACATTTATGGACATGTGCTGTAGGGGTCGCCTATGGACTTAGTATGGTTAAAGTTCTGAATTGTCTTTTATATATGGGTATTATTTGTTCTTAGACTTCCTAAAATACTTTGTGCCAATTTCTTCTATTTGAGAACCAACTGATTGTACAGAAAGTATGAGCCTACATTTGTTGTGCAATTAGATTTTGTGTTTTTATATTTTTAAGAAATCAATGGTAGTTTTCTTGTTGAAATTAAGTACACTAACAAACATGTGCCAATCGTAACTTGGTTGCAGGAGGGGACAATATTTCTGTTACTAAAGGTGTTGTGTCCCGAGTTGAGCCTACACAATATGTACATGGTGCAACCCAGCTGATGGCAATACAGATTGATGCGGCTATAAATCCAGGGAATAGTGGAGGCCCAGCAATCATGGGGAACAAGGTTGCTGGGGTAGCTTTTCAAAACCTTTCAGGTGCAGAGAACATTGGGTGAGTTTTTATTTGGTCTTCATGTGTGCTTATATGTGTGCTTCTTTATTACTTTGGATAACAAGTACTCACCCAAAACGATGGAATTCCTTCTTCCCCTAAGCATTTTACTTTATTTTGTGACCATATCTGATAATATTTGCTTATTTGATTTTCATTCTCATGTTTTCCAATCTTTTTGAACTGTTCAAGGAGTGCTAATGAACTGTTTGAATTTTCTCCTATGTTTATTTTTAGGCTTTTTATTTTTATTGTGACTGAGCGATTTGGGCAGGATAGACAATTATATGGTAACTTTTCTGCATTTTGTTCCTTTTAATCCGTCAACCTTTGCTAAACTTTGTTCTCAGTTGTTCTATCTGTAGTGTCGTGACCCTCAACGACCCACATCATACGGAGTAGAGGTACATGACTGGTCAGTAGCATTGCTACCAAAGGCCTTAACCGAACTTAAGTGGTTTGCTATGGTTAATATTGATCATTTTCAGTGTAATTAGAGTGAATGCATAATGAAACTAAGTGCATTAGATTCTCATTATACATCCATTGATCAGAGCAAGTGTCTTAGTGTTATATTCTATTATATGGTGTCACTCTCTTTCTTGGCCAAACACAAGGCCATGTAATACATACATCTCATGGTCTAATAAGACTATGTATCAAATCTCTGACTACAAAATATATTATGTATTCATGTGGCACATGCACAAGATTCTAATCATTATCCTCATATGTTGTACAGATACTCATGCAAAAGCTGGATCCTTAGCTAAAGTTCAATTCCCTTAAACTTAAAGTGAGAAAACTAGGGTTTGAGCTACACTAGCCCAATGAATAATAAGAATACTGAAGTGTACATTTTACCGTGGATATATTGTGATAAGTCACAAAATGCATATATCAATTGACCTAAGATAGTAAAAATCATTTGAAATAGGACATAACAACTTGAATTTGAGCATCTACTTATAGTATGGTAACTTTTGAATTCCAAACATACTCTTCCCAAATCAGATGACCATATAGAAAAATCGAAAGCTTCTTCTTATCATTGCATAAAACTGAATATATAGCATCATATCAAACAATATATAAGAGAAAATACTTGAGAATCTCGGATAGCAAGATGAGGAAGCCCATTTAGAAGGAATTAGTTGCTCTTCAACAGTGGAGATTTACATTGATTGGCAGTGTACAGCCAGCAAGTGATGAATGTGTGATTTGACATCAAAGAATGAAATCCAGAAACTGACTAGATCATAAGTGGAGGTTAATGATTTTGTTGAGACTCAATAATTGATTCATAACCATTTCATATCTCTATTTAACAAATAGGTTATTTGTATGTAGGAAATATAAATTTTTTTTGGTACTGTATTAGTATGTGTTTGCTGAGGCTCCAATCATGTGACTAATCTTGTTTTGTGATTTCTCTAATGAGTCTGATTTTTGCTTTGCAGTTATATAATACCTGTCCCTGTCATAAAACATTTTATAGCTGGTGTGGAAGAAAGTGGTGATTATGTTGGGTTATTTAAATTCTGTTTTTTTTTTTAATTTAAACTCTTTATTTAGATGAGGCTGTTTTTTTTAACTATATGTTTAAATTCTGTTTTATTTAAATTCTATTTAAGCTCTTTTTTTTGTTTTTTTTATTTTTTTATTTATCCTTCTAATGTTAATGTTAATTTATAGGAAAAATGTCTAGTTCAAATTCTGCCAATAACAAACCATCTGCCTTTGATGCTGAAGATGATAAGCCACTGTGGAAATATGTGACTAGATTAGAAAAATCTGGTGCAAAGGGGGGGAATTATACGTTTCAATGTAACTTTTGTCGGGTTACACGTAAAGGTTCATACACTAGGGTAAAAGCCCATTTGATGCAAATTAAAAATCAGGGGATAGAAGTGTGTCCAAAAGTAACAAGTAAGGATAAACCTGATTTTGAGAGAGCAATTGCAGAAGCAAAGTTGAAATTGAAAAACTCTAGGTTGAAGAAAGTCCCATTGCCTCCTCCTAGTTCAAGTGCATCATTAGGTTTATGTTTTAATGAACAGGGAGTGGAAGTAGTAGTAACCCAGTTATGAAAGCATTTAACATTGGGGCTCGAGAACGACTAAATAGTAAGATAGCTAGAATGTTTTATTCAGCAGGCTTGCCATTTCATTTGGTAAGAAATCCTTACTATGTTAGTGCATTTACTTTTGCTGCAAATAACAACATATAAGGATATGTACCACCTGGGTATAACATGTTGAGAACTACATTGCTTCAAAAAGAAAAGATAAACATTGATAGGTTGTTAGATCTTATTCGAGGCTCATGGAGAGAGAAGGGGGTGAGTATAGTCAGTGATGGATGGAGTGATTCCCAACGAAGGCCATTAATAAATTTTATGGCTGTTACCGGAGGTGGGCCTATGTTTCTTAAAGCGGTTGATTGTTCAGGGGAAACAAAGGACAAATATTTTATTTCCAACTTGATGAAGGAAGTAATTATGGAGGTTGGGCCTAAAAATGTGGTTCAAGTCATTACAGATAATGCCGCAAATTGCAAGGCAGCGGGGCACCTAATTGAAGCACAATTTCCTCACATCTTTTGGACTCCTTGTGTTGTGCACACCCTCAATCTTGCCTTGAAGAATATTTGTGCTGCCAAGAATGTGGAAAATAATTCAGTTGCATTTGAAGAGTGTAATTGGATTAGTGAGATTGTAGGTGATGTGATGATGATCAAGAATTTTATTTGTAATCATTCCATGAGGTTGGCAATGTACAATGAGTTTGTGAGTTTGAAGCTTCTTTCAGTTGCCAAGACACGCTTTGCTTCTTCCATTGTCATGCTTAAGAGGGTCAAGTTGATAAAGCAAGGTCTCCAAACAATGGTAATCAGTGACAAATGGAGTTGTTATAGGGATGATGATATTGGCAAGACCAAGTTTGTGAAGGATAAGTTATTGGATGACTTTTGGTGGGATCAAGTTGACTACATACTTTCCTTTACTGCTCTTATTTATGACATGATTAGAGTTTGTGACACCGATAGACCTTCTCTTCACTTAGTATATGACATGCGGGATACAATGATAGAAAAAGTGAAGATGGTGATATATAAGCATGAAGGAAAGCGACTAGAAGATGAATCTACATTCTATAATGTAGTACATCAGATTCTTGTAGACCGGTGGAACAAGAACAACACACCACTTCACTGCTTGGCACACTCATTGAATCCAAGGTGATTACAACACAATTTACTATTTTTATTAATTTAAGTTTAATATTATTCTTTCACATTTAAAATGAGTAGTACTTTTTTTTCATTTTAGGTATTATAGTGATGTGTGGCTTCATGAGGATCCAAGCCGAGTTCCCTCACATAGGGATGAAGAGGTTTGTCTTGAGAGAAAAAAGTGCTTGAAAAGGTTCTTTGATGATCCAATGGAACGCACTAAAGCAAATTTGGAGTATGCTAAGTTCTCAACAAAAGAGGGGCCATTTGCTGACATTGATTCCATTGGAGATAGATGTGATATGAATCTTCATAGTTGGTGGGTTGTTCATGGTGCATCGGCACCCACTCTTCAATCTTTGGCTTTAAGGCTACTTGTGCAACCTTCTTCTTCATCATGTGCTGAGAGGAATTGGAGTATATACTCTTTTATCCATTCAAGGAGAAGAAACAAGATGACACCCCAACGTGCAAAGGACTTGGTTTTTGTTCATAGCAACCTCCGTCTTTTATCAAGGAGAACCCCACAATACCATGAAGGAGAGACCAAGTTATGGGATATTGCGGGTGACATATTTGATTCATTTGATGATGTTGGAATGCTTGAGGTTGCAAATCTGTCACTTGATGAACCTGAGATGGAGGTTGTGTTGTTTACAGATGATGGAGGTGCAAACGAAGAAAAAGGTGGTGATGCTAATGATGATGAAGACGTGCAAGAAATTGGATCTACTTGAAGTTTTGAAAGGCCTACTTCTTTTCTTTTTTTTTTTTCTTTTTTTTCTTCTTCTTTGTCTCTTATTTAGTGTTTTTGTGAAAAATATTGTTGGATGTTAGATGTTGGATGTTTTCCCCTTATATTTATTGTTGGATGTTGGATGTTGAATCTTTTGCCTCTCTTATATTTATTGAATTAATGGTACTATATTAATGTTTGTTAATTTTGATTTAGAATGAATGTAATACAAATCTACATAACACATAAAAAAATATATATATATATATAAAATCGCCATGTCCGTGTCCCCATTTTTTGGAAATTGCCGTGTCCCGTGTCCGTATCCGTGTCCGTGTCCGTGCTTCATAGAGTGTCTTAGTCTTATATTCTATTATATCGTGTCACTCTCTTTCTTGGCCAAACACAAGGCCATGTAATACATACATCTCATGGTCTAATAAGACTATGTATCAAATCTCTGACTACAAAATATATTATGTATTCATGTGGCACATGCACAAGATTCTAATCATTATCCTCATATGTTGTACAGATACTCATGCAAAAGCTGGATCCTTAGCTAAAGTTCAATTCCCTTAAACTTAAAGTGAGAAAACTAGGGTTTGAGCTACACTAGCCCAATGAATAATAAGAATACTGAAGTGTACATTTTACCGTGGATATATTGTGATAAGTCACAAAATGCATATATCAATTGACCTAAGATAGTAAAAATCATTTGAAATAGGACATAACAACTTGAATTTGAGCATCTACTTATAGTATGGTAACTTTTGAATTCCAAACATACTCTTCCCAAATCAGATGACCATATAGAAAAATCGAAAGCTTCTTCTTATCATTGCATAAAACTGAATATATAGCATCATATCAAACAATATATAAGAGAAAATACTTGAGAATCTCGGATAGCAAGATGAGGAAGCCCATTTAGAAGGAATTAGTTGCTCTTCAACAGTGGAGATTTACATTGATTGGCAGTGTACAGCCAGCAAGTGATGACTGTGTGATTTGACATCAAAGAATGAAATCCGGAAACTGACTAGATCATAAGTGGAGGTTAATGATTTTGTTGAGACTCAATAATTGATTCATAACCATTTCACATCTCTATTTAACAAATAGGTTATTTGTATGTAGGAAATATAAATTTTTTTTGGTACTGTATTAGTATGTGTTTGCTGAGGCGCCAATCATGTGACTAATCTTGTTTTGTGATTTCTCTAATGAGTCTGATTTTTGCTTTGCAGTTATATAATACCTGTCCCTGTCATAAAACATTTTATAGCTGGTGTGGAAGAAAGTGGTGATTATGTTGGGTTCTGCTCTTTGGGGTTGTCCTGCCAACCTACTGAAAATGTTCAACTACGAGAACACTTCAGAATGAGCTCTGAAATGACTGGTGTACTTGTGACCAAAATTAATATACTTTCTGATGCACACAGTGTCCTGAAAAAGGATGATATTATCCTTACATTTGATGGTGTGCCCATAGGAAATGATGGAACCGGTACTTAATTTTAAAATCCTTTCTCCTTTATTTTTTAGGACTTCTACTTTTCTGGTCTACTAACTAGCAACTGCAATTACCCAATTATTATTATTATTATTTTTGTTCATTTCCCAATAGCAAGGCATTAAAAATGAAAAATTAGTTATATTCTTAGTAAAATGTACTGATAGCCATGTACAAAAAAGGAAATGCCATTTCTGTGACTTTATTTTCTGTGTGCAACAAACCACCTTTATGTGTTGGCATTTTGACCATTCATTGGAAGAACCTCCCAAGAGCTATCGATGAAGGGCATTAGCTCTGAGATATCACCAAATTTGAAGTTGGGTGGATAAAGCTGCTTTTTTATTGAAAGATATTGGTTGCCTGAAAATTTTTACTTGAATATCTGAATGTATTGCATTGTTTATACTCTGCAGTTCCTTTCAGAAATAGAGAGCGGATAACCTTTGATCATCTAGTCTCTATGAAAAAACCCAATGAAACAGCTGAAGTTAGAATATTAAGGAATGGTGAAGAGCACAAGCTCAGTGTCACCTGTCGTCCTGTAAGTCATTTTTCTCTCTCTCTCAAAAATTGGTAATTCGTATGATATAAAAATTTCTTTCAAAAGCTCTATTTGAATTCTGAAATAAAATGTGAGGCTTCTCTTCATTAATAACACGTGATTGGATTAGGCAACTAAAAGAAACAATTTACTCTACTTTTCTATTGTTGGAGACCGGTAAGGTTCATTTAAGTGGAACACATGACCGTTGATTGTGTGGAAATCTTTTTTCAAATTGGCCCTTTTGACAAATAAAATAGAATTATATTATGAAATTTAGTTATGTTTAAAAAAAAATCTAGTCCTACTAAAATGGGGCCTAAAGCCAATGGTTTAATGGCTTTAGGTGTGAGTGGGCCATGTTTAGTAGGTAGCTACAATGACAAAAGAGGACAACAATTTTTAACTATATTGACATGAGATGGAATGTTCTAGGAAATATCATGTCCCCAAGTTTAAAAAACAAAGAAAAAAGAAATTACAGTTGAGTGCTCACTGTTGAAACTTAAATCACAAACATAGTCCCTTTATCATCTAGTTAATATTTTTTATCGTTGAAACACATTGCCAATATTGTTAAGCTTGCGTAGACTATATATGGATTGCAATTGAAGCATTTACTGGCCATGTTTAATGAAATAGTAAATGTAGTCCATGGAATGGGAATATTACCGAATGAAGACAGTTGAACCATTTATGAATTTTTCTCATTATTCATTTTGAAACAGTTTGCTGCTTTGTCTTGCATTTAATATACAATTGACGATGTTGCAGTTGCAGCCCCTAGTTCCAGTTCATCAGTTTGATAAGCTTCCTTCTTATTTCATTTTTGCGGGACTGGTCTTTATTCCATTGACCCAGCCATACCTTCATGAGTATGGAGAAGACTGGTATAATACTTCACCCCGTCGATTATGTGAACGAGCACTGAGAGAACTTCCTAAAAAAGCCGGTGAACAACTTGTCATTCTGTCTCAGGTCTTTCTTCTGCTTTGTCTTCTTTTTTTTTTTTTGAAGCAATATACCATTTTATATATACAGTAGTTCTACTACTTGCATAGGGGTGTGGTGGAGAATTTGAAGTTAAAACTCTTTAATGCATTTAAAACTCAATGATCTCACTACTTAAACTCCAGAAGATTGAAGTACTGATCCACAGGAAACACTTGGCACTTGAGGATCGAAGTTCTTGACATAAAATTGTTTGGACTTCAAGCAGAATCCAAAGTGTGTTTGTGAGAAAACTACATTGTTGTGGTGCAACCAATATAATTAATGATCATCTGTTCTCTAGGTCTTCACAAGCACGTGTCTGACGTTTTGAACTACAAATATATTTTCTTTTGATTCATCATGAATCTCAAGAGGGTAGTGTAAGATATAACTTGAGATAAGAAAAGGAGAAGCTAATTGAATATGTTTCTCAGTTTCTTCGTTGAAAAGCTTTCAAAATAAAAGGAGAAGCTAATTGAATATGTTTCTCAGTTTCTTCGTTGAAAAGCTTTCAAAATAAGAGAAAGACAGTTGTCTTTATGCGTTGTTCATTCATATTCCTTTTCTGTTTTTTGTTTTTATTTTTTCTAAATTGATTTTGCATTTCAACTAGCAATCGTATGTCCAAGGGAAAATGTCACTTTGCAATGGAATCAAATCAAAACAGTTGAATTTCTAGAGAGAGGAATTCCCAAACTAGGGAAACGAGAGCTAAAGCTCTGAATTTTACAGTCTCAAAGTATCAAAAGTTTGTTACAAAGACAACAAACTAACTCACATCAGCACTCCCTTTCTTAAGAGAACTTGTCCTTTAGTTAGAACACAGACACAAAAGATTAGTCTACAACTCAAGGCACCAAATGTTGGACATTAAAAGTGTTGGAGATTTTCAAATGTGGAGGCAACCAGACTTGATAAGCCTTGTCATTAATCTTACACAAAACCTCACGAGGTCCCATTTTTTCACATGGAGTCGTCAATGTGGATCTTGTCCTTTAGTCCACTGATCTGTCAAGTTGAAGCATGAGATATATTTCCTTGCTGTCATCCTCCAGAATTAAACAAAAACATTTTTATGATGCCGTTGTTTTTCAACTGAAGACTTAATAAACGTCATAACCTTATTTTAATTGCCAAATATTTTTGAACCCCCATTGACATTACTATCCACAGAATTTATAGGGTAACTTATGCGTTGGCATCAAACAAACAAAAAGCATGTTATGTGAATTTAGTTCTAACACACAGCACATTTGCTGGTCGGTCCATACAGTGGTGCCACCATCCTTGTTTAACATGATCACAATGATTATGACTTCTAACTTGTTTGTGTTGTATCACTTTGAGAGAATATTTCGGGTTTTTGTTATTATTATTGTTTAGGGTGCAACTACACGAACTAGAACTTTGTCACTGAGGTGGTCATGAGCATTATTACTTAACCTTGGTTTTATTTATTTATTTTTATTTTATTTTTTTTTAGGTTCTTATGGATGACATCAGTGCAGGGTACGAGCGTCTTGCTGAATTACAGGTACCTTTATTTTTCCTTTGTATGTACACAGAATGTCTAATCAAGTCAGTGTAGTGCAATAGATATAGGGAACCAAGGTCCAAAAACCTTATTTACTTAATGAAAATTTCCTTGATCAAAAGTCGACATTATATGGATGATCACAGCCAAGTTATTTACCACAATGTTTCTTCGTCCATTTCAATTTTAGAGATATATGAAGTTGTGATTAAGCATTTTCCGATCAGAAATCACCGCAGTTTTTGGTCTATTACAGGTAAAGAAAGTGAATGGGGTGGAGGTAGAGAATTTGAAACATTTACGGTGCCTAGTGGAAGAGTGTACGGAAGAGTTCTTGAGGTTTGATTTGGATGACGAGAGAGTAATTGTGTTGAACTATGAATCAGCAAAAATAGCCACTTCTCGGATATTGAGGCGTCATAGAATACCTTCTGCGGTCTCTGCTGATCTTATCAACGAAGTGAAGGAGGACGATGACTCCAAAGTTGAGTTGGCTTGCTTGAACTGAGTTTTCTTTCTTTCTTTTTCCTTTTTTTTTTTTAAAAAAAATTTGTTGAAATTTTGATTAAATTAATGTATCATTTATCTTGTTTTTTACTCTTCTTTTTATTTATTTATTTATTTTTGATCTATTAGAATGGCACCATTTTCAGAATTAACTAGCCATGGCCCTGGATTGTTTGTAATCCTATTAATAAAAACTTCTTACACAATATTGTTTGTAGAATCGAAGAGTTCACTTCTTTCACCGAAATCTTGCATCGCGTTAGCAATTTAAAAATGCTTTTATCAATCTTTTGAATAATCAATATCAAAATTTTCAAACTCGTCATTAGTATTCGGTGTTTAGCATTGAGATGGAGATATGGAGCCCTAAAACAAAACATTTAGTTAGATGAACCAACGTTCACATTTCTCGAGCCCTAAAAGAAAACTTTTAGTTCTGCCTGTATTAGAAAGGAGGTTTAATCTTGTTATTTAATTCAATAATTGGGATTTTGACTTGTTAATTAAAAAGTTAAAAGAGGAATAATAGGAGTGGGGAGAGGCGTGGCCTAAGCTGGCGCCGTTTAGTATGACTGTCGGAAATGTAGCTGAAATACTCAAATGAAAATTCAAGAAAGCCAAGGAAAAAATTTAGCTTAGACTTTAAAGAAAGATGCTGTCATAATGAGTAATTATTTAGGGGTAGTTTGGGATGTTCTAAATAAATGTATTTTTTGATTTTTTATAAATAAAAAAAATGTATAAAAAAGTAGAGAAAGTGGTTAGAAAAGTAGAAAGGAGATGATAGATGTTGATTGATTGACACAAATAAATGTATGTATGCTAAAAAAGTGTACTTTTTTAATTTAATCCAAACACCTACTTGATAGCTTATCCAATATAGATGAGAAATACTAAGGGTTTGGAAGGAAGGAAAAAAAATAGTTTGCTTTTTTGATTTTTTTGGGGACTAATTTAATCTGGTTAAATTAATTCCGTTTGGAAATAATTTTTTGATTTTTTTTTGTGAGAAAAAGAACTGAATGTAACATTTTATTTTGTTTGTTTATTTAATTTATTTTGTCTTTTTATGTTTTTTTTAATTTCAACCCACTCCAAATCAACTTGTCAAACGGCAGCTAACTCACTTAAGTTGAGTAATAGGGAGATAAAAAAAATAATCTATTTATTAATATGTGGTGTTATTTTTCATTGCCCAACGTAGATAATAATACATGATCACTCTAAAAATATATAATAATTTTTTTTATCAAAACTCAAGATAAAATGCAGCAAGATATAATTATTATAGTACATAGAAGGGGAGAGAGAGAGAGAGAGAGAGAGAGAGAGAGAGCATGTTTAGTGCTAATTTCTAATGAGTGAAAAGTCGATAATCACAAAAAAAGAAACTAAAAATATTTCTCCTTACTTTTTAATTAATTTTTTTTAATTTATTTAAATTATTTACGACTAAACTGTGAAAATAAGTAATGTTGCACCATCCACCAAAATATATATATATATATATATTCATAGTAATCCTTTACTTTCGCAGTGCATTCTCGTCACCATCTTTATATGACATCAGAAAGAAAGAAAGCATTGTAATTCAATCAAGAGGGAGGCCCCAAAGAGGTGGAAAGTGAAAAGACTGCGGAAAAACGAAAGAAACCGACATATATGCATATGCAATGCATGAATGAACGGTTAAATATCATATTTCTTACTACTATTACATTGTATTATCTACAAGCAATACCCCCAAAAAAATTAAAAATTAAAATCACAATAATATATCAAGATTAGGTAAATTTCGGTGCGTACTACATGCATTCTACCACAAAAATGTGTTCTTTTATCATAAAATTTCATAACATCAACTATAAAATATATAATTTTGCTATAAATTGATGTAACAAAATATTCAAAATTTTGTAGTTAGTTTTATAAACATTTGTGACTTTGTTATGATATTTTTTATTATGTTAATTTGTAGCAAAGTTACATATTTTATAATTGATATTACGAAAAAATTTATAATAAAATTACTTATTTTATAATAAAGTAGATAGAGAGTGCACCCATAAAATTTCCCAAAAAATTAATATCCAAATTCCAAATATACATATACTTAAACGACAACGACTAACCATCTTGAAAGTCTCTCACCTCCCTTTTTACAGGTAAACTAAGTTACCTGTCTCCCCTCTGTATCCTCCTTAGTATTCCTAATTCCTAAGTCTATGAAATTTAAGCAAAATCTGCTTCGATAGACTCTCTTCTTCCTTTTCATCGGAAACAGTGATTCAAATGTGAATATGAAGATGAAGAATTATTAACAAACAACTCTTCTTCTGACTTTTGACTTCACGAGATCCAATCTACAAACCTCCTCAATAAATTCTGGCCAACTTTTTATTTTCCCCACTCTTTTGGCTAGGCATTGACCTAACCCTGATTCCACCACTTTGGAAATTCCTCTATAATTAATTATGTGATACAATGTTACATAATTTGAATAGGAAATGGCTTGTCTCTAATTGAAATTTCAATTGAATTAAACAGTTGAGCTCTTTGATCGGTAAGAGTCATTAAACAGAATATTTTAATCGGTAAAAGTCATTAAACAAAAGAGTCTTACTGGTTGGAATCTTTAAAAAAAATTAAACTGAGTCTTGTTTTCATAAATTCTTTAACACTAAAAATCTTTCATTTAATGATTTTTAGTGGTCAAAAATCTCAACTATTTGATCTAGTTTAACTCTCAACCAAAGACGAGCTAAATTCATCTGAATAACAGAATCATCATTTCATTTTATTCCATTGAAGTGAATCAAATACTATATTAAACTCTCACTGTGATTCTATTTTTTTGGTTTTCTATTTTTGCCGGCTCTCACTTTCATTTTATCCCTGGCTTTCAGATCTCGCATTCATATGCAACTTCACCTTTCCATTGCTCCATTGTACATCATCTCTCTCATCTCATGTATGCCCCTCTTTTTTTCAGTATCTTTTTCAATCTGTAGCTTGTTTTCCTATTCATAATTTCTTTTTCCTTTGTTTTGGTTTTGGTCTGAAAATGTTCTGATTGTTCAAAAAAGCAAACAAAAAGAAAAAGTAGGAATTGCATGAGTTGAAGATAACATATACAAAGATGGCAATGACATCATCATCATCATCTTCAAACTTGCCGCCATGCGCAGCATGCAAGTTTTTGCGGCGAAAGTGCCTGCCAGAGTGTGTATTTGCTCCATACTTCCCAGCAGAGCATCCACAAAAATTCGCAAACGTTCACAAAGTGTTCGGAGCCAGCAATGTCACTAAACTTCTCAATGAGTTACAGCCTCACCAGCGCGAAGATGCAGTCAATTCTCTCGCATACGAGGCTGACATGCGCCTCCGTGACCCCGTCTACGGTTGCGTCGGAGTCATCTCCCTCCTCCAGCACCAACTCCTCCAACTCCAAATCGACCTTACTTGTGCCAAATCCGAGCTCTCCAAATACCACCACCACCAAAACTTAGGGTTTACTGGTGGTGGTGGTAGTAGCGGTGATGGTGATGGTGGTGGTAGTGGTGGCAGTCTCGATCACCATCACTACCACCATCACCAGTTCTTCCCGAGGAGTAATAATCAGCAGCAACATCAGGAACAAGTGATGAGGACGAGATTTGATGTTGGAAACAACAATGTCGTCTATGAGTACGATGTAAACAGTTTATTCGCAATGAATGTTTCTCCAACTGCAAGCATCGGAGGACAACTGAATCATCAGTTTCAGCAACAACCTAGGGCTACGGTTAGGGCTGCTACTGCTAGCGAGGATGACTGGCGAAAAGCCATTGGTCCTTCTTAGGGTTTTTACAGCTTCCTTATTGGATTGGATCAACAACATAACACTACTTCCAAATCAAACCCCCCTCATTCATATAGGTATTTACTAATCATTAATTATCTACCATATGGATTTCTATGGAACTTAGTTTTTCATTTCAGTGCTACTATCATACTATATTACTACTTTTCTACTACATACATGTCGGATTTCCAATGCCATTCAAGGTGAATATATATATATATATATATGAAATTATGATAGAAAATTGATTCTAAACTCCATGAAATAAGTAAACAGCTCACTTTAGTGTACCAAACAAGGGGGAAAATCGGCTAAAGGGATTTGTTAGATTAACTTTTGGGGAGTAAAACACTCAACGTTCAAAAAAAAGTTCCTCTTTCTTTTCTTTTTTTTTAATTTTTACTCGATGAAAGTCAATTTTACATTTGTCAACAAAGACTCTCAGCAACCAAAAATGGTGACAAAAGTTTTGAAGACTATAATTTGGTTATTATTATAGATAAATCATAGTGAGGGTGACGATATACCATGCGAACCACCTAAATTGCCTCCTCTGATGAAGAATATCAAGAGCTTAATCTATAGTTCTGATATTATGATATAATATCTAAGAGAAAAAAAAAATTATATTATGTGTATATTAGATTGTCAAGTTAGAACGAGAGTGCAAAGTTACTTGAGATAGATTAGAGGATGAAACTAATGTTGAAAAACAATTTATAGCATGTGAACCACCCAAGCCTTTGAAATAATAACTTTGAGATTTCACATTTTGTTAAAGGCCATATAGAAGGCTTTAAAAGGCTCTCCACCTTTACAAAGCGCCAAGTACTCTATGACTTTTTTCTTGGGACTAAACCTTTAAGAAAGTTATAGTGACGAATTAGACTAGGCTTAGTTGGTTTTTGCCTGTCCTATTGACTAAAGTAGTAAAATTTATCATTTTTATATCTTCTTTTAAGAAATAACAAGATAAGTGTCTTGAAATGAGTGATATGGAGTACAAGACCATCAAATAACTTCTCTTGAAGATTATCCAAGCACGTTGCCCAGTAACCAACAACTAAAATTTGGATTGTGAGGTGAGAAAATTAAAAAAAAAAACAACAAATTCTCTTATATTCTTTCATATGTAAGGGACAATATCGGTATTATAAAATTTATACAACCAGGTTTCTTACCAAATCTCATGACTTTTGGTAATAAATGAAACCTATAATAAATATAAAAAAAAAATAGGGTTTTATTTCTTATTATTTTGTACTTAACTTGTGAGTTACAAACCAAACACGAGAAAAGAATGTCATTTCTTATCATTTCTTAAACAATGATATAAAAAATACATATAGCATTTCTTTGCTTCTCAGTTTCATCGGCCAGGGACCATTGGGCCCTTACAATCATTTAATAGAGCACTTGGACTTTCTTGACCAACTTAAAGGCCCAAAACCCATTTTCACAAAATCATCAGCAAGGGCTCTATCAGAAGAGTCCACTATGAATGTTCATGTACCTCCTTGAGATTTTGGCAAAGTATTTTGGACTTCTTACATCATTTAGACCTATGAGTTACCTAAATTTTGACATAAAATCAGTACCATTTGAATTAAAATCAAGGGAGATACTCCCCCATTTTCTAAACTCAGACAGATTTTGATCAATGATTACAATTTTTATCATAATTCAAGTTATACCTGACCTGCCATACTCCAATTTTAAACTGGGTGGATTATCATAAAAAGTGTATAATTAGGGTTACCTAATCCAATTCAGTTTGGTTCCCGGGTTGTTTCATTAGATTACGGATACGCTAATCGGTAATTCGCCATTTAATTGTTCCAATTTCGGTTCTTAAAATCTCATTTATTTGGATTCAAAAATATAGATTAAGTATAACAAGTTCCACTTCAATTACAGTCAGTTCATTTTTGTCTATTTATAATTTTATTTTTTTAAAAAAAGGCCTGAATTAGGTTGTAAAGAAGTCCCTATAAACTCTAGAATTTAGGATTTTTTACTACTACAAAAAATTAAGGTTTTAGAGACCAAAATTTAGGGACAAAATTATTTTTTAGGGACTAAATATTTTTATTACGAAAAATGTCGTCATTGTATTTTTAGTAACGAAAATTAGACATTAGTGATGAATTATTATCCATTTGGGACCAAATTTTTTGTCTCAAAAAATAAATCATTTTAAGACCAAATTATTGTCTCTAAAAATCAATTTATTAGTGACATTTTCAAAATTTTGTCACTAAAAGCTTTATTTTTGACTTTTCAGAACGACCTTTTAGTGACTATCCTCAAGACGATAGAAATTGGTCCATGAATGTCTTTTACAACAAAATTTTCACTTTTAAAGATCAAAACATTTAGTCTTTAAAACTCTTATATGTTGTGGTGCTAGCCGGTCCCAATAATTAAATATATTACTTATTAGGTCCTAAGTTTCTATTCATGCACCAGGAAGTCTTATTATATTTTTTTTATTCCAATTTTGCCCCTACTGTTATACTACCAGAGCCATTGATGAATTAGTGATGTTGGTTAACATGAGAACTACCAGCGCCATTGATGAATTCATTGAGAACTGCATCTGTGGCCCTTGGATTTGAGAGAGATGGTATTAGATGTGAGAGCAATCAAGAAAATCAACATGAATGGAGATGGGGTGTGTCAACATTGACGAGTTATAAAGCCATTGATGAATTCGTTGGTGTTGGTGAACATGAGAACTGTCTCTGTGGCCCTTGGATTTGAGAGAGATGATGTTAGATCTAAGAGAGATCAAGAAAATCGACATGAATGGAGATGGATGTGTCGACATTGACGAGTTCTGAACTCTGTATTGTTTAAACCAGTGATAAATTTGTTTAAACTAGTGATAAACCAATAATAAATTTATCACTGATGAATTTGTTAAAAAACTTACACATAGCAGACTTGATTTGAGAGAGAAAGGGGGCATCACAACAAATTTATCACTGAATTAAGTAACAAATTTATTATTCATAAATTAACAAATTTATCACTGAATTAAGTAACAGATTTATTAGATTAGTTACACGTCTGTAGAAGATCAACAACACCTTTCAATGCACTGATTGGACACTTTGCATCCCAAACTGGTGATAAAGGAAGATGGTGGCAACGACGATATCGAAGATGGTAGATCACTGATGGAGGATTACGGTGTTGAAACTAGCAGCTGAATGATGAGGGAGGAGCAACGGTAATGGCGACAAAGGAGAAAGAGATGATGGTTGGTGATAGAGAAGGAGGAGGAGGAAATGGTGTGCTAGTGAGAGAAATAGGAAGGGAGAAGAGAGAGAGAGGGAAAGAGAGATACAGATGTGTTTGGGTTTAAGGTAAAATCACTCAATTGAATGTAAGGGGTAAAAATGGAAGATGGGTTAAATTATTTTGAGTTAGAACTTTTTAGAAATTAAGTTCGGTCCAAAGGACCGACCGTAACTCCCCTAGAATTTAAAGGACTTTATATAGGACTTTGATATGAAGAAAATTGTAATTTAAGGGAATTAAACAATTTAAAAAATATTTAATTAATGGATAATAATGATTTGGGATATATTTAAATAAAGGATTAATTTTCTCCAATTGCAATATCTAAATGAGTTTCATTGCATACCAAATACTTCGAATAAATTGCTAAGGCATGGAGAATTGTTTGAGTTGAATTATAAAGATAGTGCACGAGTACGAAATAATATTCTTGTATAATCTTGTCGATCAAGTTTGCACTCCTTCAAACGTCATTACTTTGTTTTCTGAAAACACAAACGTGAGCTAGTCGGCGGGTGTGTGCCGGATACCTCTCCGATACCTAAGTCAGCAAATAGACAATATACAAAAAGCTCTGTCTTTTTTAGAGTCAAAATTGTGATACTTGTACATAGGTCCTATCATGAGCTTTTATAGATTCCGTCTGGCACAACCCTAATAGGATTCCAACTCTACTTAGTAGAGTCCTATTAGGAATCACTTAAGATAATGCTTATCTTTTTATACCCTCCTCACTGCTTAACCAAGTGAAATGGTCCAACCATGGTCTCGGTAGCAGCATAACCGACCTAACACTGCCTTGCCTTACACTAGTCTTAACCGTGCTCACCTAGCTCGGTGATACCTTGCACTTAGCTTGGTTCTACCTCCATCTATATCTCAGTCGACAACACCCAAATCCAGCTATTAGCAGATATCACTAGCAGAACGGGCGGGATCAAGGACCGAGTTATGCATACCACTTCATCGGCCCATTGCTCAGCCCACATTCCGTTTGGTATTAGCTCGGCCCACTTTTCACACAAACTACAATCTCAGATAATATTTTCATAATTAAAAGTCGCGAGTGTACTCACAACCCAAATATATAGAATACATATAATCAAAATAACCGAAGCATGACTAACTAGTTTTACAAGTCTATAAGCAAACTAGTTAGGTTTACGTACCAATAACCTAAATAATGACAAAATTTTGAAAGGCCTTAAAACACATAGAAATAAAATATAAAGCATGACAACCCTATTGGCTCACCAAAAATTCACCCAAGACATTTGAATGAATGTATATTACATGCAAGAGTCATATCATGCAATTTTTTATTATTTTTGTATTAATTATTGTATGTGTATCATCATAATATACATACATATATATATATATAACAACCAATTTTTCAAATAGTCTGAAATTCATGAATGAAATTATAGTAGTTATTTGGACTTTTATATGATATCCACAATTTCTCTCAATTTGTAACCTAATACACAAATCAATTAGTTCTGGCAAGCTAATTATATGTTATATATTATCAACAATTTTCACATAAGAGAGTGAGATGATATCTTGAACAGTTACATATTTAGGATCCTTAACACAAATAGACACATCACAAGTTCTATATATACTACTTACCAATACAATTATTAACTTAGGCAAATACTCAAGTCTTAATTTTTTATTGGTGATTTTCTAGGTCAATGGATTATGAAAAAATCAACTTCATACAAGTTTACATCCTCTCACCAATAAAATGAAGT